CTTATTCATGAGAGAAACAGGAGGAGAGAAGAGCGAAGAGTGGAGATTTCCTTGTGCTCTTGATGTGATTAGGTGAAAAAGCACTGGTCTTGGAGTTGGAGGCCCTGAGTTTAAGTACTGGCCCTGTTCCGACAAGCCTCTGACTCTTGAGCTGTCACTTCACTTTTCTGATCATCAGTGCCTTTAACTGTTTAAATCTAGCCATATATTTAACTTACATTTATAAACTGTTATGAGGAAACCATAGATCTTAAAGAACTACATAAATATATAATAAACCTATAAACCTTAGTTTCATCAGGGTCATTAATATATTAGTTAATCTTGGTATGAGTCAAGATGAGAGCAATAGGTATTTCTCTTTCCTACTTCTAGGGAAATCTAGAAGAAATTAAGTCCTTATGTTCCAAGGCTGGATGGGAGATGAAGTAGTAGACAAATTGATCCCAGAGATGTAATCAGTACTTTTTGTATGTGAGGCAAGGAGTGGTAAGGCAGGAAATTGACAAAAGGAATGTCAACTAGCATTTAGTTTCCTTGGATAAAAGGTGTATTCTGGGACATCACAAGGTTTCTATTCCATTTCTGAAGAGGACTGGAAGGGGAATAGGTGGAATAGGCACAGGCACTGGAATTATTGTATATAGTAACTTCTAATTTTGGGGCCCTGGGGAAAAGCCTCAGTTGCTTCACCTTAGGTCACTAGTTCGTTATTCCTTTTCCCCCCACTGTGGCCACTGCCAGTTCATTCCACTGGCTTTCTTTTAATAGAATTAAGTTATTTTCATTGCCAAATCCATAATCACAAATGATACCAACATCAGAGGGTAGCAGTAACTTTAAATTCTTGCTTCCTCTTTTTGCGCTGAGCAGATATTAGCAGAAATAACAAGCATTCATGACTTATTCAGATGGTCCTTGTGACACCCCTCCAGAGCCATGGCATTTGCCCACAATTCACTCTTACTTTGTAGACTTAAGGTCCAGAAATGGACATTTCCTTCCCTACCACAATAAAGTTTTATTTCCCCCATTCCTTGAATCATCCAGGATCCTCTCTATAAAATAAGGGGGGTGTGAGAATATATTATCTGTATGGGAATTTCTAGCTTTAACATTCCATGATTTTATTATTCTCATTAATCCATTAAAAATGAAGCTCTAGTTCCCCCACTACAGTGATGATATTGTCATGATCTTTTGTTATAGTATTAATTTCTAAAGATGCAAATACGACAAGTTCTACCTTAGCAAGGTTAATAATGCTAAGAACTCACAGTTATATAGCATTTTACAATTAACTTTCCTCACCACAATCCAATGAGGTAGATAGTCTGGCAACCCAAATACCATTTTTACATATGGGAAAACTGGGGCTCAGAGATACTTGCCTAAAGTTACACAGCTAGTAAATAGCAGAGCTTTGTGGAGAGGGAAACTTTAGATGAGCTTGAAGTAAGTTAGGAGATATAAGAATGTCACAATAGGTCTGTGATTTAGAGAAAATGAGGCACAAAAGTCCAAGCATAATCTATTTATTGGCAAGGCTCGCAATTGCCAATTATAGAGGTCAGAGGTCCCTTAATGACCACAGACATACCTTAAAACCAGAGCAGCCTTTTATACGCTTTGCTTACATAAGTGTATCACAATAAGGTCCACTGGTGCCAACTAAACTCAGGCTGTGGTTGGTCCATAATTATACTGGCTTGCAAAAAGGAGGATCTCCAAAATCCATAGTAACAAGAAAAACACAGAGTTCAGCATCATCTGTAAAGTCTCCAACCAGAAACTTCCTGTCCACCTCTACCCCCCAGAGAGATCCAGTGTTAGGAACAAACACTTCCTGACCAGGGTGAATGATCCTCCATTCATCTTCTTTATCTCCCTCAAGAGGCAGGCCCAGTCTCAGCTGTGTGCATAGTCTCTTGCCTCGTGTCTTACAAACTTTTCCACCCAAGGACTATACAAAATAAATCCACATCTAAGCCCTAGAAACTGGTTACAGTAATTACTAAAATTCTTTTCTTTGAATTAAAATTAATCAATAATCTGAATTCTATAAGAGGCAGAGATAAGGAAGGAGTGCATTCCAAGTTTGGGTGACATTCTAAGCAAAGACACAGAATTGGAGAAGAAATGACAAGGAATGACACCTAAACCAGTTACACTGAGTATGAAGGGGAAAAATGTGGAATGGAACTAGAAAGACCCAAAAGCAACCTTTGCACAAGGTACTAAGCTAGATATTGGGGATACAAATACAAAAATGAAACACTTCATGCCCTTAAGTAGATTGTATTCTTTTGAGGGGTGTAACATGTAACCAGGTCATTAAATACACAGTATATTCTAAGTAATTTGAAAAAGGCACAATTTTTAATAATTGGAAGATAATGAAAGACTTCATGGTAGCACGTAAAGCGTGCTTTAAAATAAGATACGGATTATAGGAACCAGACGTGAGGAAGGTATTCCATCTTAAACCTAAATTACCACTTGTGCAAAGGCACAAAAATAGGAAATAGAATGTTATTTATCTTTCACTAAAATTTTCCTAGAATACAGTGCATGAAGAATATTAATGTGAAATAATACTGTAAAGTCATATGGGAGGCAGATTGCAGTGTGTTTTAAAAGGCAGCCTGGAAGTTTTATGTATCATTATAAAGGCAACATGGAGATATTGAAGATTTTTAAGTAAGGAGGTGACATTAGGTCTTTGTTTAGATATATTAATTCATCAGCTATGTAGAGGGAAGATTAGAAAGGAAAGAGACTGGATATGGAGAAACCTTTTATGAGCTTGTTTCAGTAGTTTAGGCTAGAGATAACAAGTGCCTGACACAGGAAAAAGACACTGTAAGTGAAGGGAAGGGGGTGGCTGAGAAAAATATTATGGAAGTGGCATCAATAAGATTTATTGACTGATTCTGAAGTAGAAGGAGGGAGATGAAAAAAAAAACAGCTCTTAAGATTACAAATCTGTGTGCCAAGAAAGATAGTCATGTCATCAACAAAAATGGGGCAATTTGGAAAATGAGTGGATTTTCCTTTTTTTTTTTTTTACTTAACTATAAAATAAGTTCCATTTTGGATATGTTGAGATTGAAATACACACTGGGGATCCTAGTAGAGATGTTCAGCAAGGTAGCTGGTGATGCCAAAGTAGGGCTTAATAAGAGGTACGAGAAGGATGTGTGTGCATATTGGGAATCACCTGCATAGGGATAATGGAACCTGCTGGAACTGATGAGATTATCAAGAGAGAGTGTAGAAAAGATGAAAAGACTACTCAGAGCAGAGGACGGGAGATGCCCTCATTTAGTGGGGAAGAGGACAGAAGTATGAACCAACAAAGACTGAGGAAGAATAATGAGACACATGAGAATCAAGAGAGAGCAGTGTCACAAAACCAAAGGCATTTCCATAAAGAAGGGGTGGTCAACATTGCCCAGATTGGCAGAGATATCAAGAGAGTTGAGAGCTGAGAAAAAGCCTGCTTTATTTAGAAGTTGTGAGGGCTCTAAGAGGTAGTTTTAATATCATAAGACAAGAAAATGGACAATTTGTGACTTCCCAACTTCAATTCGAACTCTAGGTTTCCATGATTTTATTGAACAAAAGAGTTCAAAAGAAATGGCAAAATGTTCTGGACATTCAAATAGAATTACAAAAAGAAGACAATTTGGATGATAACAGAATCTCAGAATTGGAATATTAGAATGGGTTTCACACAGCCAAGACTATAATCCAAATCTCTTGAATCCCAGAGCTTCTTCCACTAGCCCACTCCCCGCTTTGATTCTGATATCTCCTGCTAATTTATTGTTTTCAAAGGTGCCTAAGAGATAGGAAAACCTAGGAATGGTTTTCAATTGCCTTCTCCCAGAAGTTCAGATTAATTCCTTTGATGTCACAGAAGAAATTCTAGGGGCCCAAATTATGGTAAAGAATATGTGGGGATAAACAGCTAGCTACTTGTGTTCCTCAGTTTGAAAAACATGGACCAAGGGTCACTGGACATTTGCTCAGTTTTCTACCAAACTTATCTACTAGAAATAGCATAAAGGAAGGAAAAACAAAGGAGAATAAAAATATTACCTCTTTGTAAATTCATCATGAGAAGAATACTCTTATCTTCATCACTAAAATCTCTAAGGGGTCATCTTGCACTTTCATATCCAGATCCGTATACAAGGCTAATTTGTGTATGGTATCTGCCAACCTTTTCTCCAAGATGGCTTCTTTTTGCTAGGATTTTTCTGTTTCAAATAGCTATATTCTGTGTATGATATCAACAAGTTTTAATCTTATGTATTTCTTACAAGCTAAGTGAAAAAAATTATTTTTAAAACAAAACAAAACAAAAAAGGAATTGGTTTCAATGGCTATCTAGTACACAGCATTTTCCAAAGAGATTCTGACTGTGACACACTTGACAAATGGTCATCTAACCTCTGCTTGAAGACGTCTAAGGAGGGGCCACCCAACCACATCTCAAGACAAGCCATTCCATTTTTGACAAAAAATAACAGAGAACTCCCTCTTTGCATAGTGTTGTTTTTTTTTTTCCCACACGCACCTTGTGAAGTACAAAGTGAAATTATTTATGATTCCCATTTTACAAATGAGGAAACTGAAGCTAGAGAAATTGCTTTAAATCATATTCCTAATAAGTGGCAAAAGTCAAGATTCGAACATTTGTCTTTAGACTCTAAATGCACTGCTTTTTCTACTAATAAAATCCTGTGTGGAATAGCACAGAAAAGGGATAATAGATCTGTAAATAACATCACGATTAGAAATAGTAGAATTTGGTAAGGATGAAAATCTAGAAAACTAACACTCAGGTTGATAGATCTTTTGTAACATACATAAAGTATATTAAACATAATTCAAGTCTTTCTTTTTTATGGAAGTGGAAAGCTAAGAAAGGCACAAAAGTTGTAGCTTAATTTTTAATTTTTTCCCCTTCTATCATCACCATCTTTAAAAAGACATTCAAAATCAGGTAACTACAACAAACACACCTGTGAAAAGAAGGTCAAGCTGCAGTACGGAAGATTACTTTTAAAAAAGCTGATGTTTTCAAATCAGCAGGTTCTGATGACTTGTATCCTCACACTTTTTACTTTCTTTCTTTTCTTTTCTTTCTTTTTTTTAAGAACTTGGTTGATATTATCATGCAGCTTTTAGCTATTATCTTTGACATCTCCTGTAGGGTAGTTGAGATTCCTATGACTAGAAATGTGATGATAGAAATTATATGCTAGTCTTACCAACTTTGTAACTGCAAAGACAAATCCAATAGTTGATAGAAAAATTTAGGATCTCAAGGTACTAGAAAAAAACCAATAGGATTTTGAAAAGAATGAATTGTAATGGACAGATTGAATTTCCTACTTGTGCTAAGTGACAGGTCATGTTTATAAGAGTTAAGATAGAGGAAGAAAATAGGAGAAACATGGATTTCCTTCACTAAAGGAAGGGGATATTCAAAGATTTCTCCTCTTTCTCCCACCTCATACATTTAGATGGGTGGACATAGTAAAGTAGGATTATTTTTAAACATCAAAGTAGGCTTCACAGCCCACATAACATTGTCTTATGAAGTAATGAATCATATTAGTCGTCCTTTTAATTAATGACTTTTAACAAATGATCCCCTTAATCCATCCCTTAACTTTGCAGATGGTTTCACAAAACCACAATGTTATTATACGAGATAGATAAGGGAAGAATTCAAAAAAATTTTGCTAATTGTAATTTTCCTAATTCAAGTATTTATTAAGAACCCACCATATCCATAGTGCTGTACTTAGCAATGGGGTTGAAAGACAAAAATTCCCTTAAGGGGTTTATATTCTATGAAGGGTAGATTCAAGGAGCTCACAGATAAGTAAACACAATCTAACTGGGAGAAGTGGAAAGCACAAAAAATTTCAAGAGTATTTAGGAAAGGCTTCTTAGTGAGTTTTAAGTTATAAGGGGGTGTGGAATAATTCTGATCACAGACGCCTGGGGCATTTGTAGGATTACCTTTATCAAGGAACTTTAATAGCAGCAAAGGTGGTCATTCATTGGCTTGAGATGAGTTTGGCAAAGTTTAGGCAATAGATGAAGAGAAACTTTGATGTTCCCTTTGAATCATTTCTGTCTCTATGGTTCTGTGATTTTGTCTAATCTTTTAAAAAATTATATTCTGCTGCATTCAAATCATTTTTAATCTTAAAGGAAATTCGCATTTCAAATTACATACACGTGTGTATGTGTGAGTGTGTGCATGTGTGTGTATATATATGTGTGTGTGTGTATATATATATATATATAAAATATATATGTAATATATATACATATATATATATACATATTTAACATATCAGACATTTGAAACTCCAAAGGTTTAAGAATATGTGATTAAACAAACAAACAAACAAAAAACCAAAAGTCTTTTCAGTAATTCATTGATTTAGTCTTCTCTGTAAAATTTGACCATGGCACAGAATGGCAAATTGCTGATATGTCTCCCCTAGATAGAAGGTGGAGACAAATCATTATTTAATAAGAGCAGAATAGCACTTTTGCATTTCTCTGTGACCTCATTATCCATGGCAAACTGGTAAACAATGTTTTTTATCACTTTGGTCTACTTTTGCTGTCTAAGACACATACTGTGTCTTTTAAGATGACTGCTAATGGAATTCAAGAGAAGGCAGTCTGGAATACAGATATTTTGGTAAAGATTAAAACTGAAATATAAAAAAAGAAAATTTTAAAAAATGAAATATCAGGGGCATGGAATGGAAAAGAAACAAAGTTGGCGGTGCTTTTAAAGCAGAATTAATGCTTGACAAATTTTTAAGTACTTGACATTCTTTAGGTGTTATTTAAGAATATGGTATACTCAATGATTTTTGTTTGCATTTCCTCTCAATTTCTATGAATTTGGCATATGAATTTGCTAATTTTCTGTGTCACAAAATTTGGGAGAACATGGATTTTTTTGGATATAGATACACTCAGATGTTTCACTGCAGAATGAGATAAGTAAAGCGCTATTAATTGCTTGTTGAGAAAAACAATAATAGTTGTTTCTCTTTTTAATTAGTGGAACATATTCCTGAAGGCACAAATTATGTTTTTAGATGAATGTGTGTGTTTGTGTGTGTGATTGTGGTGGTGGTGGAGTCGGGGGATACAAGTATGGTAATCTTTTGTTGTTGTTATTCGTTTGTTTAGTTGTGTCTGACTTTTAAGCAAGGGCTATTGCATGGGGAATATAAAGGGATGATGGTAGGAATAGGATTGATTTTTGCTACATGTCATCCTTGGAAGGTTCTTGTAATGCAGTAGATGAAAAAAACACTAAAAGGAGTATCCAGGTGTGTATTCCACACCACCCCTACTATGTTCTCTCCCTTGCTGGCACTATTCTCCACAATTGCCACTCTATGATCTCAAACAGTGGTGTTTACTTTCCTTGATTGAACTCTGGTCAGTATCGTAACTAAGATGGGGTATCTGGTGCTCTCCCAAATCTTATATTCCTTAATTAGACATAAACAACTGGCCTTAGGACCTGGTGATCAAGAATGAAGAAGCTTCCCTATTCAGCTCTTCTTGTGGTCTGGCTCCACCCTGCTCCAACTATCAACAAAAACCTTCCTTGCCGTGTTCTGCTCCTCTCTATAAAGTCTAGTGTCCTGGGGTCTGAATTCTTTTGGAGTCAGAAGACTTCCCCTTTCCCATCCTGCAAGCAAGTGAATTTATCTTAAGAGCAAGTGAATTAATCTTTAAAAGTTGATTTGTGGTTAATTTTCAGGAGACTTGCGCAGACTTATGGTGCTTGACTCAAGTGCCGTAATTTCTGAGTTATTGCTCTATATGTGTTGTTATAGATTTAGGTTTAGCTGTTTAACTCTGCTTTCTTATAAACTCACTTTATTTTGGTAATCTGAATCTAATTTGTGTGTCTAATCTCACTTCTGTTTGCATCACTTGCATCAGCCAAGATACTAATTCAATTTATAAAACATGTATGAAATGCATTCTGTGCTGTTAGAAACAGAGGAAAAACACATACGAAGTCTTCCCCTTAAGGAGCTTACATTCTTCTAAGAGGATACAGCATATATATGTATATATATGTATATATGTATATATATGTATATATGTATATATATATATGTATGTATGTATATGTATTATGTATGTATGTATGTATATATATATGTATGTGTGTGTATATATATATGTGAATAAGGAAATACAAAGTAACGAGTAGGAAAAGAGCACATGGGGTGGGAGACAAGGGAGAATTAGAGAAGATCTCATGGAAGAAGTAGCAAATGAGCTAGGCCTTGAAGAGAGTTAAGAATTAGGATTCAAAAAGGTAGTAGAACATTCCAGCATCTCAGACAGTTTGTGGGAATGGTAAGGGGATGAAGTGGGAAATGCATATCAAGTTCAGGAAACAAGGGTCCACTTTGGCTACAGCATAATAAAGAGTTATTGACTGATTGATCTGAATATCTGACTCTAGCTTGGTTGATGGGACCTTGACTCCTGTTCCTACCTTTTGCTTGTTAATTGTTGTTTTTTTTTTCTGCTCTTGACCCTAGACTATACTTGAACTCTTAACTAATAATTACATACATCACGGCAGCTAGTGGGAAAGGTAAAATGAAATTAATTACTTAAAAATACACCCTTCCCAGCCCAATTCAATTCATTCAAGTATCTATTGTAACCATCTACCATATGCAGATTTTGTGCTCAACATACTACTTAAATAGATCTGATCTACCAATTTGGATATTCCCCTCCAATATTATAGATCACAGTGCACACATGTCCTTGATCTAATGTAAGTTGATCCAGGGGGTTTTCTTCACTTTTCCCTGATCAGATTTCCACATTTGCTATGCTGTAATACAGTGACCTCCCTATTACCATGTGATGATATTCATTTTCATTTATTTGGAAACTGTCATATTCTAAAATTCACAGATATATACTACTACTGGTCTGTGATTCTGGGAATATAAAAATTAAAAAAACAAAACAATGTTTGCCTTTAAGAAGCTTAATCTTTATGATGATCATAGAAATTCTTCTTTTCAACATTCTCATGAGTTCACCAGAGGGGGTATTCATCAAATATGTGGGTGGCTTGTTTCTTGCTAGCAATTTCTACATATGAAAGCAAGGGTTTTGGGTTTTTTTTGTTTGTTTTTTGGCAGCCACATATATAAAAACAAGGCAGCAGTGCATCTAAAAAGAAGGAAGGAAATGACTTTGAGCTGTGGGTTTAAGATTTGCTGCTGTGACTTTCATAGCTCCCATTCATTTATGTGGACAAAAGGAATATGAAATTTGAAAAATGGGAGACCCCAAACCTTGAGTCATTGACTATTTTGGGCAGACAGTCTTGAAAACAAATGCCCACTGGGTGCCTTAGAGAATTAAGTAAACAGCCACAAGGAATTTTGAAACCTAAATCAGAGAGAAACCCTTCCCATGATAACCAGGAAATACAGGCAAAAATAACAATTTAATCCTGAGAGTAATATGTATTTGGAGAGCCTCTCATTCTGTTTTCCAAAGAGCTTTTCTATGGAAATGCCCATTTTGCTAAGTCTTTGGGAAATGGGCCATTGAAGTGTTCTTTTCCCCTTACTCTTACAACTGAGTATCTAAGGACTTCTGCCTTTTCTGAAAGAGCTGAAGAAGAAAAGGCTTCTGGGCATTAAGATATAAGAGCAATGACAGACTTAACGCAGCAAAACCTGGAAGCTGGAAGCAAATAAAAGAACCACAACGTGATGACCAGAGTAGCTGTGCCTGTCAGTGACACATAGACACAACAGCAGAAAAAACGTTAAGCAACAGCACATGACTGGAAGGCAGTAACGTCCATCAGAGACTGCACACTCGACAGAAATTATATGTCCAGCGGAAACTACTTAGCCAGCAAAGGCTATAAAGCCAGTGGACAGTGTGTGTGTCTGGCACACCTAGCAGAGGTTACAGACCACAAGATACCAGCTGGGAATAGATTTGGCAGGAGCAGCTCAATGGCATCACCAGAAGATAGCAGCAGCCCTGAAATATCAGAGGTATGTTTTGCTCCTCCACATGTCTTTGTGCATCTCTTAGTAATATGTGCTTTTGCCCCAACATTTTCCCTTTATATACCTTTTTGGCCCATGTTCTCTACATGTCTTCACTTTCCCCCCTCTGATGCAGTGTGTATTTGTGGGGAGGATGAGTGCTCCAAGTTTATTATAAGTGTTACTTTCCTCACTGTTATATCATTGGCTTTTTGGTAAAGGTACATGTATATTCATGGACTTACACTCTATGATTCTGAGTAGATGAAGTCCCACAGGGTATTTTCAACCATGGGTAACTTTGGTCATCTATTGTATAAGTTGGGACCCATTGTGTAAGTCGGGAGATGTCCTCTGGTACCTACTAATATTATAAAACTGTTGCTGCTATCAAAGTATTATTTGTAATTGTACCCTTTTATTTTAGCCTCTATTTTTAAAAGTGAATCCCTTGTTATAAAGTTATAGAGAACTTAATGTTGTTGTTGTATTATCACTATTTTGCTAAAATACAGTGACCCCAACCTAATAAATGAAAACCCAGTGGTAGTAATAATTACAGAAATACCACCTCCAGAATGCATATCAAATATTAATGACTCTCTAGGCCAACAGATGCCTAATGGCCACTAATAGATGCCTCATTAGAGATTTTTCAAATGTGGGCAGGAAAATGTATTATAAACATCTTACAAGGGGCACCTGTGTCTATAAAACTTGCTCAGGACAGTCCTCAGTGCCATGTAGAGCTTGCCTCATCTGTCAGTGGAACAGCAGCCACCTATGTAGTTTGATCTAAAGACTATTCAAAGGTCCCCATATCCATTAAGATATTTATTTCACACCCCTAGCCTCAGTCAATGCCTACAGTTTTCTCATATGACAGGTTTGAGAGGCCCCCAGTATTCCAGGTTGGTAGAGGGAAAAAAAAAACTTTGGAATCAGAGGATGTAGATTCAGATTCCAATGCTGCCACCTAAACCTGTATGACCCTAGGCAATGATGGGACTTTAGAATAAGATGATAGCATTTGATGACATATAAGGTCCCCTTCAGCTCTAAATCTATGATCCTATGACTAGACTGAGGGAGCAGGGTTCAGAATATTAACAGAATGAGAACTCTTTCGTTCAAAACCATGGTCTTCAATGAGTCATTTGGGGAAAATTGAGGGGGCAACTGTCTGTTATTGATAGAGCCAAGAGCCCTTAATTCAAATCTTGACTCTCCTTGTAAAAGGGACGGGGTTCTACTGCTGACCTTTAGATCTGTATGAGATTCTAATGTTTAAAAAGTGATGTCTTGTTTTCAATAAGGGGAAAGTTAAGGAACAGGGAAGAAGGAACATGGCTAAGGGCATATGGTCTGACAAGAACAGATCTTAGGAGTAGAACTTAAAGACACAGGCCTTCTGATCTCCTTTATGTTTCTTATTTTTTTGTTTTTGTTTTTGTTTGTTTTTCTTTCCTTCCAGGTGAGACCAGAGGATTAGTACTACTCTTCTCTTTCTCAGACCTCTTGAGACACCTTAGATCCTCACTGATGGCTACATGGCAGGTTTCACTGAGTCTAGGACAGGTATTAATGAGTAATCCAATGCCTCTCTCTTTTTAGAAATATTTTTATGTCCCATATCTTTGAAGGAACTGTTAAAGATTTTTATTATGTAAGATTGATTTTGATAGACTTTCATCTTTGTATTCCGTTAAAAATTTCAATCTGACAGTTCAAAATTAAATACCTGTTTCACTTTGGGCAAACTGTGTGTTTATTTAGTGTGACTCTGCTTGGCAGGTTCCCTGATGACCAGATGTTAAGAGTACTGACACTGTAAAGATTTGGGGCTATGAAAAGATCATTAACATTCTTAAAGATGAATGTATTATGTTTACTATGTGCCAAATATTGTGCTAGAGATAAAAACAGAAAAAACATTCTCAAAGGGAACATATATACAGGAGACTGGTGGCCAAGGAAGAGTGTTTTGAGAGTTTTTTGATCTGGGAATCTGCAGAGGTTTTGAAAAGAGCAATAGGGTGAACAGTCCATTGGTATACTTTTTCCAGAGGCAAGGGTATAATCCCTGTAATTATAGCTGTCAGAGCAAGAGGTTGACTGGGGTGGGAGTAAGGGAGCAGGTAACAGAGTGAAAAAGAAGCAAGAGGAAGTTGCAAAGAGGAGAATGTAGGCTTGATGTCAGGGAAAAGCTTTCAAACAATTACAATTTTCCAAAAGTGGAAGATCACTGGGGATGCAGAAATTTTCAAGCAGAGGCTACATGATAACCTATCGGCTGTATTATAATTTGAATTTCTTTGCGGGGTTGTGAGTTGTTGTAGTTGGCCTTTATGGTCCCTTCTAACCAAAGTTTTTGATTCTGTGAAGTGTATATATGTATATATGTATTTATTTGTGTATATATGCAACATGCATGCACACATATGTATGTATGTGTATGTGTGTATATATATATATATATATATACTCAGATTCATTTGATAGATTTTCACACACACACACACACACACACACACACACATAGCTTTAGCCATAGATTTATAGATTAGATAGGTATATATTCAGAGCCCTAATCCTTCTGATATACAACAGTGAGTTCCATTATTCCTTTTGATATTCTGTCAGAAACCTAGATAGGAGTCAGCAAACTGAGACTGAAGGAAAGCTCATTGAGTCATTGTGGAAGTAACAATAAAGTAAAAGAGAATGATGAGAGATACATATAATGTGAAAATGTGTATATGTGTTGAATTAGGACCCCCCAAAATTGAAATATTTGCTTCAAGTCTTCAGCACTGC